AGCTGCAGCCGCTCTGCTCCCGGCCAGCCGGGCCCACGAGGAATCGAAGCACTTTGGACAAGGGAAGGGGAAGGCTTCGGCCATGGCAGCACCTGGGGAACGCGGGCAGGAGCAGCAGGACAGGACGGAGGTGGTGGTTGGGAAGGACCAGGACCTCAGCCCTCGATGGAAAGGCACGAGAGGGCTCTTGGCCAGCACCGATCTCTGCCCGCTGGCTGCAGGGTGGAGGGGAAGCCCGGCTGCCCCCTGAGCTGGTCTTCAGGCCCTGGGCTCTGGGGTAAAGCCTCGATTTCTGTTTCTGTAAACTCGGGTCACATTTTGATTTCTTTGATTGTATAAAAAAAACCGACCAAACCAAACCAAAAGCAACCAACCCTCTGCCGCCGAGTAGCTGCTCAGAGCTCTGTACCTGGCTGGTAAAAAATGATGACCGAAGCTTGCTGCCTCCTGTGCTTCCTGACGTATGGCCACGGCCTTGCCACGTGTGGCACTTGCCCGTCCCGGCGGTGTCAAGCTCTGGGGCAGGCACAGACCCCCGAGGGGGCTGATTCCCGGCATCGCTGCCCACGCAGGGTGGGCAGAAGGCTGAAGCAGCACTAAAACACAGGAGCGGGTCTGGCTGCCAGCTCAACCGCCTCCCCCCGCACAGACGGGCACACCGGGGCACAGTCAGCTTCACGTTTTATTTGGGTTTACGACAGACAGATGGTTCCCCAGTCAGTTTTCAAGGCCTGCGCCCCCCACGGCCTCCCACGGGCTCAGGACAGACCCGCCAGGGCTGCCTGGGCTTCTGGCCGAAGAGCAGCACCAGCAGCAGCCCCAGCCCCAGGGGGGCTGAGCAGAGCAGGGGACGGGGTCCGCCTGGCTGCCAGGCAGCTGCCCCCAGCTCTGTTAGCAGCAACGCGGGTTTGAGCAAGCAGCCGTCCCTTTCTGCCCTCACTGCAGCACCCGCACATGCTGTCCCCATCAGGACAAGCGGGCAGGGTGTCCGGTCCGTGGCACAACTGGGAGCGAGCTGACGGCCCCAGTGTAGAGCCTGAGACCACGGGCACAAGTCACACAGGTCCCTTAAGTGCGGTGCCACCACCAGTCCGCAGAGCTGACCCACAGCCGAGGCACGGATGCTGGCTGAGCAGGCCCAGGGCGAGGGAGATGTCAGAGGCAGCTCTCCAGGTGGGAGGCTGCAAATTCAGTCCCAGAGCCCCCAGATCCCGCAGGGCTGAGCCCCCAGCTCGGGGCACTGGGGAGGAGATGGCAGAGACCGGGGAGGAGAGCCTGGCTGGAGTGATGGAGGGGACCAGGCAGGAGGCGCAAGCAGCGGCTCTGGCACTTGTTAGCTGATGCTCCCTCCCTTCAGGCTTTTACAGGAGACTCTCCCCAGCTTCGTCAGGAAGTTTTTCTGCTTCCACTGGGCAACACAGTCCTCAGAGATGCGGAAGTCGGCCTGGGGAGCAAAGCAGGGGAGGCAGGGTCAGGCCTGGGCTGCCAGCGGCACCTTGCTGAGCTGGTGGGGAAGTTTGTCTCGTTCACACCTCTGCTGACAGTATCAAACACGGGCACTGAGCAGCAAATAGCTCATTTGGGGTCACCCAGAGGTGGGGACAGGGACATCTATGTGGCCCTAAGCATTGCCCCACTCAATGCATGCAGCTCAGAGCTGTGGTCCAGGCCCCTGGCGCATCCCCTTACCTGCAGCTTCTCAAAGACCTTCTTCTTCGGCTTGAGCTCGTCGTCAGGCTCCCCGCCCTCATAGCCCTCCACGTAGACGCGCTCCCCAGCGCAGCACCCGGCCGGCGGGTCCAGGGGCTCCACCTGCCGTGGCTCCCCGACACTGCGGAGGGGCATGGAGGAAGCAGAGTCACCCCAAGGCAGCACCCAGCTGCCCCCAGCACCGCTGGGCTCTGGAGCAGGAGAGGGGGGTCTGGACTGCACCCCTGGAGGGGTACGGCCCCAGTGCCCCCTCCCTCACCTGGAGGCACACAGCACCATGCCCTGTGATTCCACACCCCTCATCTTCTGCGGCTTGAGGTTGCAGAGCAGCACCACCAGCCTGTCCTGCAGCTGCTCCTTGGGGACGAACTGCACCAGGCCACTGACCACAGTGCGGGGCTCAGGCTCACCCACATCAATTTTCTCCACATACAGGCTGTCAGCGTCTGGGTGCTGCCAAGCAGAAGCAAGGTGAGGAGCAGGGGAGGTTACTGGGGTGGCAGAGAAGAAGGGGGTAGAGTCCCCCCACATGTACCCAGTGCCCATGTCACCATGTGGGAAGGTTACTCCCCTCTCCCTGTCGTGCCTGTACCTTTTCCACACTGATCACTTTGCCAACGCGGATGTCCAGCCGGGATGGGACCACATTCTCTGGTTCCGAGTTCTTGGTGCCCTTCTCTGCAGGCTCTGCAGTACAAAGGGAACAGTTGTGCCACTCAGCATAAACCCAGGGAGCCGGCCAGGCCCTGGGGAGCACAGTGACACTCCAGTGCGGGCCCTGGGGCGTGCTGAATTCCCTGTTTGTCTCTATACCAGAGAGCACAGTCTCTCCTCCACTTTGCTGGTCTCTCAAGCACCAGAGAAGCATGGTGGCATCTGTCTTCTCCAGGACAGGCAAACAGCCCTGATGTTGGCCTTTCCTCACCCTTCCTAGTGTTCTCCGGGGCTGTTCTTGAGACTGAAATTTCAGAACTTCTCTCTAACCTCAGCCCCTGGAGGGACAGTCTCCCACCCAGCCCTGCATGGCCACGGCCCCACTTCCCCGAGCTCCCAGCACCTCCTTACTGGCTTTGGACGGGTTGGGATATGCTGCGTTGGTCAGCTTCTTCAGTTCTGGGCTGTTGAATTTCTCTCTGATGGGGTCAAGCAGTTTGTTCAGGGCCACTTCCACTGAGTTTTTCAGGTCTCCGGGATGCACGACCTGTATCGTGATAAACAGATGGGTTCCTGCACAGTTTCCTCCCAGGCAGGGGGAGCAGCAGAATAAGAGTCACTGACCCGATGCTAGAGAGGCAGGAACTGGAGACCATGCAGGGCAGGGAGGTGAACACTTAGACTGATTCCCCCTCAGAAAACAAAGCCCCTCTTCTGGAGACTTTTGCTTGCAAAAAGCTGGAAACAGCTGAAAACAGTTAAACTGCTGCTGTGTTCCAGGATGTGGCTGACGTGGTCCTGTCCTGCACCGGGACAGATGGTGCCCCCACATCCTTCACCCATCCTCTCACCTTCGGGTTCTCCTGGCTAGGAGCACCCTGCCACACTACAGCCACTGGGCCATGCTCTGCTCCACACTTCCCACCAGTGCGGACTTCCATCTCCCACTGCTGCTCAGAGCCCTCCCACTGTGCCCTCAGGAGCCTCAGGAACAGGAACAGGGTTGAGTCCTTCCTGGCACTCACCTGCTCAGCAAAGTCCTTTTCCAGGGCTTCATAGGCTGTGTAGGTTTTGTTTCCTCCCCATTTTTCTTCTCGCAGAACCACAAACTCTGCAACACACAGAGTTTAAGGCTCAGATTAACCCAAGCGGAGACTCACCCCCTGCTCAGCCAGATAAACTACCCGCCCCACTTAGCCCAAGAGCTCAGGGGAACCACAGCAGGGGCTGAGGAGGGGGCACTCAGGGACAGCCAACTTCATGGGACACATGCTCCCATCCCCTCCTCTTACCCACAGGAAAAACTAGCCCCAGCGCCCAAGCATGGTGAGCCCCTCACCTGACTTGAGGGGAAAGAGGACGTGCTTGATGAAGGAGAGGACACCATTGTTCTCCACATTCCCTGGCTCGCAGAAAGCCTTCTTCAACTTCTTCTTCACATCCTCCTTGCGGTCCAGAAGGTCAATCTTTGAGTCCTGCAGGAAGAGATTTATGTAGCCCTTTACTGAATCTCTTGCCCAAAAGAGACAAGTCATGCTGGAGTTGCTGCAACTTCTTCTTAGACCCCAGTATGAGTGGAGAGAGAAGTCACCTCTTGGCGTGCAGCCTCTCCACCCCCAAACCGTTAACCCATCCCCCTGCAGAACTCCTGACCACAGCCACCATTCAGGGACCAACCTCTTCTGATGAGCTCATTTTGCTGCCTGTCAGACCAGGAACCATTGGGTTCATCAAATGGACGCGCTTGGCATAGCCCAGGGAAGGAAGGTACTGGGGAAAAAAAAAAGAAGCAGGTCATGGACAATCGTCTTCTGAAGACCAGCTTTAACTCACCATCCCTGTTTTGCTCCTGGCTCCAGGTAACTTGGGGACACAGAATAACAGGACCCAGAAAGCTATCGTGAATTTGCAGGGCACAGACAGCCACAGCCAGGGATGCGTGGCAGCACATCAAAGCCCTGCAGACCATGACAGCAGCAGCAGGAGCTGCGATGGGTGTCGTGGTGCCAGCTGAAATCTCAGACACACTTCTCCTGATGTGTTCAAGCCCTGAGCCAGGTGTAAGCATTGCAGGGGGCTCAGAAACAAACCCATTCCTCACCTTCTCTGCAAAGGTGAATATCTTTCTCTGATCAACTCCTCCAAACTGAGCATCAACCTTGAGGTACTCCTCATCCAGGGCCTGCAGAAAGACACACACAGCCTTGTGACTGGACCCAAAACTCCACGCTCCTGCTATGCTCAGCCTTTGGAGGTCCTGCCTGTCCCCCAGGACCTGCCCAGCCTCTGCCTGGGCGCTCCTGACCTGGGAAGGACAGGAGCTCTCCAGACTGCCTGCTGTCCTGCAGCTGGCAAGAGTCGCTGTAAAAGCAGCTCTGTGCTCAGGTTATGCTTTGTGCTGCTGCCAGGTGTAATACTGGGGCGGAGTATAACAACCTTGGCATTCAACCTCACGCGTCCCCGCAGTCCTGGCTTCGCCCAGCACCTCCCCAGCCAAGCAGCTCTGCTGACCTGCCTCGCCACAACACACCTGCAGGCCTGGGTAGAGCAAACCGCTCAGCAAGGGGTGCTCCACCTGCTTCACCACCTCTGCGCCCGCCTTCTTAGCATCATGCTGCGTCACCACGGATGAGAGGCGGTACACGTCCAGCGTGTACTCCCTGTGGGAAGTGACAGCACTGTTAGCACGACGGAGGGGGACACCTTTTACAGCTGCTTCATGTCAACACTGGTTCTGGCCACATCAAGAGAAGCCCACACCTGAAGGCACCTTCACTTTGTTCCCTGAATGACAGTGCCTGGGAAGAGGCTCAGGAACAGAATGCCCCAGGACAGGCTCTCCCTTCCCGAGAGGACCAGGTGCCCCAGGACTCACTTGCTGAGCTGATAGTCAGTGCCCCGAACAAACTTCAGCTTTTCCAGGGGCACCCCAATGCTCTCCAACATGGCTTTGATCACGTTTTCATAATAGCGGGTGCGTAACTCCAGCAGCTCCCAGGGGGCCTTCATGTTGTCTAGGTAAGCATGGAGATCAGCAAAGAGTATTGTCACCTAGTATGGAGGGGGACAGAGTCAGTGCTGCGCTGCTCAGGGGAAATGCACATTCCCACCCACCATCGTGGTGACAAAGCACTGCTGGGTCCGAGCTCCCAGCCTGGCCACCTACCTCACACCCTGCCTTCAGGAAGTCTGCGATCTTGGACATGGGCACGAAGTAGGCCACGTGCGGCTTGCCCGTGGTGGCGGTCCCCCAGTAGATCTTCAACTCTCGCTCCTTCAGGATGGCCATGAGCTTATCTTCCCCCAACACCTCCTGTGGAGGGCCAAGACACACATCCGGCATGGCTGAGCCTCCCCGGGAACACGCTGCGGGAGGACGTGGACAGGACAACTTCCTG